ACACACACACACACACACACACGTTTCTCTTCCTCTTTCTGTCCCTCTCTCTTATCCCTAATCCCCAGCCACAAGTAAGCAAAGACTTTATATCTTGATACTAAACTGTCAGTAGGCTTATTTGCCATAAATTGATTATGCTGTCACTCCTCACACAAACTGACAAACATTTATAAATGTAATAGTTAATCAATGGCGCCGGATCATGAATCCGGATCGTTCCGGTCACTTTAATCCAGATATCCAGGCTGTGTGTCACGTCTTGTTTCATGTGTGACAGGTGAACTGTGTGTGCGCAAAATGTTGGACTTTTTTTCAAAGTGTTTAAATACGTGTCTCATAAACTTTTGAAGGAATTAAAGAAACACAAGGTTAACGTCACACATGTACATTACATACTTATATAACATGCTGTGCATGCGCTGTAGTTGATGCTGGACAGTTTTTACAATGACCTGTACACCGTGTTAATCAACTACTGTTTAAGTGATAATTTAAACTTCACATGGTAATACTGACTGTCTGGAATTTCGCCATGGTTGTGAAACTGGCAACATGCTACTTCCCAAGCACAGAATATATAAAACCAGGACATTTTAAAACATCTGCAGTTTCTTGACAAAATAAAGACATGTTCATCAGGCAAGACTAACCTCACTACAGTATGAGGAAATAAATATTATTCATAATGTGTGAACGTGTGTGTTTATACTGTTGTTCTCCCTCCCTGCCAAAGGGTGGTGCTGTTCACTCTGTTCTGTGTTTTTGCCTGTTTCTTTGAGTTTCAGGTCCATTTCAACCAACCGTCCAGTCAAATGTGAGACTACTGTGGAAAACCAGACCTTATTCTGGTACAGAAGCTGTGGAATGAGCTCACAGAGCTATTTCAAACCGGGTTATTTTGGCTCTGATGCAGCTGCACTTCTCTGTCTGTAGTCTCTACTCTGTCTCCAGCATTGTCCCACCCACAGCACCATCTGATTGGTTAAACATAGAGCCAGGTAACAGCCAATCAGCAGTGAGAGCTGTGCATGCACACTGCTCACTCACACAGCAGAGAGGAGAAACAGTTTTGAGGAGAGGAAAAGCTACGGTGAGCAGATATATGTTTCGAAGGTAAGTTAAGGCAGAAAACTCTCCCAAAATTGTAATAAACATCCCAGCCCTCTACAACTCACAACTACTAGTAACGTTACTGTGAGCCAAATAACGTTATATGCTCGCTTGCAGTCCCTCCAGACGGGCTGCTGAACATATCGATATGGAAATAGTCCATGATAGTAGACATATGTGTGTGGGTTAGACATTTAGACACACAGACACTTCTCAAACTTTATTTTGGACAGACTAGATCCGGATTGTGCTGGATATAACGCGCCATATAGTCACCCTTGCTGATTATTGACTTATAACGTAGCCTAACCTAAGAAATCTCTTGGCTGCTGTCCAGTCCGGTAATAACGGGTCTCTGTGGGTGACGTGAGCTGAAGGTAGTGGAAGTGTATGTTGCGAGTTTAGGGGGCACGTCAGCCAGAGCTGTAGTGGGTGTTTATGTTAGTGAATGAGTGAGTGAGACTGCTGCCTGCTGAACAGAGGGTCGCAGGGAGAAGGATCTGAAGTGCCCGTGTTTCGGCTACAAAACCCTGCCGAACCGATCCGAAACCAGCACAAATTTGTATCCACCCGCCTGGCAACCGTGGTCGCGTCTCACTTTCAGCAGTGAGTGACGCTGTGCAAGTGCAACTCCTGTGGCCTGTCCTAGGCCTGGGCCGATAATCAATAAATCAATTAATCGCATCATAAATTAAAATGAACTTGATAATTTTTCCGGCCTCGATATATTGCCATGTGCATGCATGTTTGTTTTCCTCGTCTCTCACCTCCAAGCAGGCTGGATGACAAGAGGGTTCACTCTGTGCTTGGTCTCAGCACCTGGGGGCGTTGGTTGCGGAATGAACGGAGTGAACCCTCTTGTCAGTCATCCAGCCTCTTTGTCTCTGTGGGGGGAGGCGGGGCTGCTAGCATTAGCTACACAGAGTGCAGTGAGTGAGCGTCGTGCGGAGCAACGCGAGGAGAAAAGATGATTGCAAAGCCAAATGCCACAGCCCCGGTGTTGGAATATTTCGGCTTCAAACCGAATGAGCAAGGTGAGCCCATCAACACGGACGAGCCAGTTCAAAAGTGGTGGCAACAAAAAAAGGCAACACAACAAAGTTGCATGCCCACATAAAGCATGACCACCCGACCCAGTTTAACCAGCTGGGGAAACAAAGGGCAGCTCGAGATGCAGAGCCTTCGTCCCGACAGTCACCACTCACTGAGGTGTTTGGTCGGCAAAGTAAATATAAACGGAACAGCGCAAAATGGTGTGCGCTCATTGAGAGTGAAGTTCGCTACATCGCTAAAGGTAAAAAACACTGAGAAATAAAAGTTTATTGTCTTTGAAAGGGTGTGCATTATTATGATATATTATCATGTTGACAATAATATCGTTTATCGGCAATACTTGTTGCTGCTGAGCCTTGGAACTCCCTGCACTTTTTGTTTTTGTTTGAACTATAAACTTTATTTACATTTGAAAACTTCAGGAAGATATTTATTTGTTTAAGTTTTAATTTCACTTTATCAGACATGCTGCTGAGCCTTGGAACTCCCTGCACCTTTTGTTTTTGTTTGAACTATAAACTTTATTTACATTTGAAAACTTCAGGGAGATATTTATTTGTTTAAGTTTTAATTTCACTTTATCAGACATGCTGCTGAGCCTTGGAACTCCCTGCACTTTTTGTTAGACAATAGACATCTTTGTTTTAAAATTCTAAGAAAAAAAACCTTTAACATGTTCTGTTATCTGAAAATCTGTTTAATAAACATATGCTTAAARGCATTTAAACATATTTAAGTGTTGGAGTTTTTATTATTCAAAATTTTGACGCCAATATTTTCACTTTTACTGCAAATGAATATCGGCTCCAAATATCGGTTATCGGCCTACTTGACTACTAATAATCGGTATCGGCCCTGATAAAACCATATCGGTCTATCA